GTTAAACTTTCCTTATACTTTTTATACTTTTTAGGGACCCCATTTAGCACAGGAGCTCCTGCAGAGTCTATTGCATCACTACTTTCAAATATCTGCTCAAAATTAAAGGTAAATACCATGAATGCATACAACATTTTTGGAAGACTGTTTTAAAGAGCCACCCTACTTTTCAGCTGATATATCCTCTTGTGGGATATAAATACAATAGAACTATAAGAACTCAAAATATATTACATTGTATTCCCTATGAACTGTCCTCGTAATATCTCTGATTATAGGTATTATGTCGCTTTGTTAAATTATTTCAACCAAGAAGCCAAGACTCTCCCTTGTCCCCACATAATTGCTTAATACACTTTAATTAATATTCTACATTCAGAGTGCATAATTGATCAAGCTCCAGTTTAACAGCTCTAAAGTCAGAATGCATGATACAATTCCAAAACATAATTTCCAGCATGAAAATTCAGACTTCAATTGATGAAAGCTGATTGAATAATCTCTTGGTTGCAAAAACAGAGAATTAATACTGCAGTAAAAAAAAACAACAACATTACAGCATGTAATGTTTTAGTGCAGGCCTCTCTTTTCCCTACATTGTTTTGTTAAATAGGTATACACATTCTGCTCTGTCATTCACAAATGTCCATCATGTTCAGTTTTCTTTGAGCTGTTTTCAAATGTTATATTTTTCCTGACTTTCTATCTTGTATTCTGATACAACTGGTTTTGCTGTGTAAAGATCCACATTACGCTGAGTTTAAAGGCTGACTTTAAAGAAAGAACTAAAGCAGCAGTTTTGTTGTTTTTCTGCTGAAGAGATATTAGATATAGACTTAGGTGGCATATTAATCATTCCTTCTTTCTCATTTCACAGGTTTTTGAAAAATAATTATCATCCTCTGTTAGAAAACTCAGAATTCTCCATAAAGTACAAATGACAGCAATCTTGAGAGAGATGACATTAGTCTAATGAATATCATGATGCAGTTGTGTAGAGGAGGAGCTAACATAGCAATATCAATGAAAAGGAGCCAGGTTTTTGCTTGCAAGTAATGAAGATGTGCTTATGCAGCATTTGACTACATCCGGTGATATTGTTAGGCTAGCCTTGTCACACAATGGCATCATGATGCTGGTGTGTAAAGCAGGGGACTCCAACCTTGGCAACTTTAAGACTTGTGTGTTCTGTCCCCAACCACACGCACACACACCAACAGACGTTCAAGAGTTAAAGACCAAACCAGCCGGCAAAATCCTTTTCCTTATGATAACGGAACTTGGCAACAACCTAGTGGCTGCCTGCCAAGAGTTTATTATTTACAAAGAGGAGCGATAACTTCTCCCCACTTCTGGTACATCAAAAGAAACAGCTCAATAATTACGGAGTCAATCAAGTCCAGAGATAATCCAGCAAAGTCTATAGCAAAAGTGCGGCAATGCAGAATAGTGTGGAAGCTTTCAGCTTTGTTCGTCACAAGGTTTGACTGGTCACCACACTCCCTTTTATATCCTGTGGGGTGTGGTCCAGTGACTCAGCCTAATCTCAGGCACGCCTTTTCTTCTGTTGCGCGCGCTTATCTCTGCGACGCTGGCGTGGATCCAGCCAAGACTCATTACCCTCATCACTGTCCATCTGTGGCTGCGTGGACATGCTTGGCCCCGGCCCTATCTCTTGCCCTTTGGTGGACACCGAAGGCATTGCCAGAGAGGAGGGTCTTGGAGAGGGAGGCCTTGCCAACTCCTCTCCTTTACTCTCGGAGTCCTCTCCTGCCGATGACACAGGCTCAGATAATGGAGCCACAACATTGTGGACTTCAACTCCCAGAGCAAAGCTGGCTGAGGAATTCTGGGAGTTGAAGTCCACAAGTCTTAAAATTGCCAAGGTTAGAGACCCCTGGTGTAAAGGAAGGGCTAACACAGTGATATCTGTGCTTTACCATCCATGGTGCTTTAATGTATTTAATGTATGTTCTATAAGGACCAAATAATACTATTAAAGCTCTTGAAGAATTCTAAGGGAATGGTAGTGGGAATAAACCTCACATCAATTCTTCTGAATAAATCAACTACTTCAAGCCCTCTTAAGGTACAGCCATAGCGTGTGACAAGGCATTTAATATTTTTGTTATGTGGTGGATGCCTACCTCTTTGCTCATTGTTCAGGGATGCATTGGTGTTTTGAATTGTTTGCTGGAGGGATAATTATACTAGATGTCATACATTAATTTTATTTGTTATACATTTTTCTTGAAACTGCTGGTGCTGCAGAATTTTCAAAACAATTTTGCTTGCAATAAAGATAAATATTGCAGTGAGTTCTAAATTGTGAAGTAAATGGTGACTAGTTGCCAAATGTTGCCAAACCAGTTTGGGTTAATTGATTCATCAGTCAATTGATTCAGCAATCAGATGAATGATTGATTGATTGATTGATGATTTACTGAATCAATTAAATGGATTTAGCAAGCAAATACAGAGGAATAAGATGGAAATATTTTAGTCAGGACACTGTAGTTTTATTTATATATTGTATATATGTATTCACTGCCCATCTTACCACAAGGTAAAAATTTTTGGTGGAGATGCAGATATATGTTTAATATTAATGTTATGTTTGTGTATTTACTTCATAAAAATATTATAAATATATAAATATATGAATATATTAAATAATGTATTAAATTAAATTAAATTAATGTATACATTAAATGTATACCTTGCCCTTATTTTATAAAAATAGCTGCATGTTTATTGCTCCCCAACTATTAAATGAAATAGATTGACTCCACTGTTCTGTCTGATAGAAAAATGTTTCAAATTTTTCCTTTGAAGCAGGATTATTTTTATTTGCCAGAATTATTTGGCTGAGTTATTGAAGATGCTACAAATATATCCTTGGAAATGAATTGTCAGCATTTGATGAATTCTACTTTTCATATATCAGCAAGAGCAGAAAGTTACATATGGCATGTTCTTGTTTTCTATAAAATGCACATTCACTAATAACTTTTTAAACTATTACTTTATCAACATCAATTTTATTCAACATACTAAAAAATTCTTAGAAGCTTGTGAGAATAGAGTTTAACTTTCTTATCCTTGTATTACGACATATTCTAAATAATTACACGCTCTAATAATACGAGATTTTTTAAAAAGCTGTATTACACTGAATTTTATATAGGCATAAATCAGGGGGATTATTATATTACTGTATCATTTAATAAAGTTTGAACAACAACAGTATTATTCACACAAAATTTGATTATCCACTATCAATAGTTTTCTAAAGAAAGTCTATCAATCTTAAGTGTCTGTATTATTCCATTGTGTGAGGTTACAAGACACATTGATTATTTCAGTATATTCAACTATGGAGGGGGGGGGGAAGTGTTCAAACATGCAATTGGTTCTTTCCTTATGTTCACTTACATGTATCAGTTATTTTTCCATATGTCCAGATAGTACAGAAACAACAAACTATACCTTTTTTTTTTCAAAATGTTATAAAAATAAGACAAAATTCCCATTCAGACGTCAGAAAATCAGAAAGAAATTCAGTTTATATTACGGCAGTTTGTTTTTTTATTTTTTTAAATATCCACATGGACCATCAAGAATAGTCCCTAAATTAACTGCTTACCAATAACATATAAAGCAGGAATTACCCTTCAAAATCTGTCACTTGCATGCAGTCCTAAGAAGTTATTTCTTATGCTTTGAAAATTTGTCAAAAATTGCCAATTTATATGGGTATTTAAATTAAAATTCTGACAATATGTGTTAAACTTCTATACCTATCTTTTGTCAAGTTCCCACGAAAATATCTAAAACACCAGCCAAAAATGTCAGCCTCAACCTCAAGTGAAATCTCCTTCTAAAATCCAGATGGTCAGTGATAAAGTATTACAACTGTATATGAAATAGGAGTCCCAGGAGCATTCCAGAGATGTGATCCAATTTGTTTCAGAACCACAAAATATTAGCTCTTATAGACTTTCTTTTATGGAGTTTTATACAATTTCTCTGTCCCTCTCCCCTCCCCCCCCCATGTGTGTAAAGACAAATAAATCATAACGTGCATCAGCTGATTGAGTAACTTTGTGTAAAAGACAGATATCATACCTTAGGATAGTTCTGAATTATCTAAAGCACTGGTTTAAATATTATTTTAATAAGTTAAAGATAAAAACTGTTGCAGTTTGCCCCCACCTAAAAATTTAGAGTGTATCTAAAGACAAAACAATTTTTCATAATATTTTTTTAATTACTTCAGACATAAGATGTGAAAGTTGTGAAAAAGTACCCCACAGCTTTACTTAACATTATTATGAAGTTTGAGGTTGGGAAGAAATTCCAAGAACCTGTTAGTTTCAGCAAGCTACGGAAAAATGTTTCCTTCTCTTTGGTATTATGAGGCATGATATAGTACAAGAATTGTAATAAGGATTGCAGAATTATGATGATTAACTCAAATTCCAGGTTAATAATGAAAAAATAGCATTTTACTGGGGACAAATCTTTAAAAACCTGTAAAAGCTGCTACCATGGCTCATTAAATATAAAATCTCAACCAAAATCCCTGATCTGACTCCTCTAAATAAGCCAGAAATTGTGGGCAACAGCAAATGCTGAGTTATGACCCCAGCTTGTTAGAACATTTTGGGGTGCTTGTCTAAATTTGAAACTGATCAGGGATGGATAACATATCCATTTCTAGGTATTTGACAATTTCTATTCCTATCAGCCTAACAAACAATATTTGTGATGGGTAATGAAAAGAACTGAACTCACAAATATCTGAAGGATGTTTTCATATATTTCCCACCCCTAAAATGATCAACTAGAAGAGAAAGAAATCACTGTCTACCATTTCTTCTGGCAATAGAAGCTAAGCAAGAGTAAATGATTGCACCAAGATGCAAATCATTCATGGCTGATTTAATTAATGTAATGTGTAAACCTAGGTAAAAAGAGGACACAGACTGATAGAACTGCAGCCAGGCAGACTCTACACAAACAACATAGCTGAATTAGAAGAAATACAGAGAGTAAGAAGATGGAAAGGTGCATTTTTACAAACAATGGCTTTTATTTTACATAATTCTTGTCTGGTTCTTTATTGGTTGTAATTACTGTTAGAAATGTTGGAGCACCATGTTCACAAGGAATTATATTCCAATGACAAAGCAATTTGTTATTATTTTTTATGACTTGCTGTATAAATACGTGATTAAAGCTCTTTGTTACATTGTGTATCACAACCCATTCTTTGGTAGAGTAAGTACAATATAATAATTGTATCACTGCCATTTGTTCATATTGAAAGACAAATGGATAAGGTTTCTTAGATTTAGCACTAGAGAACAGAAAACCAGGGTGCAAGTTGGCTACCCAATTTCAACTAGTCTGGATACTGGGGAAAAGAAATGACAGCAAGTCTATGAATTAACTCCTTTCTAATCACTGGTGCTTTTGATCTTGTATAGATTTCAGTTTAAAAATTTTGCCGTGAAACAGATCAGTAGAATTACTTCATATTCATATTTCCTTACCAAATCTGAGGAAAACAGTTTTATAATAGTGAGTGATTAGGTTAGGATATTAATCCGCATCCAATATTTTATAATTTCTTTATCCCCTAGCAAAGATGTAAGAATGTATTATGTTTAGATATACTGTGCAGGAAGTCCTTAATTGGGAGCAGAATTTTCAATGCTAAACAAGGCAGTTGTTGAATTGCCCCAATTAACAACTCTTGTTTGCCATGTTGTTAAGTGAATCATGTGGTCGTTAAGCAAATCCAGCTTCCCATATTAACTTTGCTTGGTAACAGTCAACTGGGAAGGTCACCAATACCAATGACCTGACCATGAGACACTGTAACCATTGTAAATACATCCTGATTGCCAGATGCCCACATTTCTATCATGTGACTGTGAGGATGCGGCGATGGCCCTAAGTGCAAGGACTGGTTGTAAGTCACTTTTTTCAGTACCATTGTAGCTTGAAACAGTTGCTAAATCAATGGTTGTAAGTCAAGAACTACCTGTAATCATTTTTTTTAAAGAAATTGCTGTGAATTATAATTTAAATTATGGGTAAAAGCATTTGGAAATCAGTACAACCTAATACATGCCTTAATGAACAAACAAAAAAGTTTTCTAGAGTAATTCATCAAAAAGGGTTTACTTCTGAAGAGCACAGTCAGATGCCTAAGTAATAAAATGGACCATTAAGTGTTCATCCTAAATCAAGTTAGGTGTACTTTAGTAGCAAGAATCCCTGAATGGATGAAATGCCAGATAATTGGCAAATGGCCGCAGCTGTATGTAAAAATATTAACACAGCAACTTTTTGACAAGTCCAGACAGTTTTCATTGTACAACTAATAAAAATCTTGAATGTTGAGAGAATCCCTCAAACCAGGATTTGTAGCATTTGTAAATTTGTAACCAAAGACATATTCCATGCTAAAAAGGGGAATGGAAAATAAATCAGTGTTTAATAGATTTTCAAAAGTTATAGGCCGACAGCTAACCACATCTGGAAAACTGTATTTCTATCCTGATTCTATATCACCTTCTCTGCTATATTGTAATCATCTGTTGTTTACAGGATGAACAGATGCATCTGATTAGTTGTTAGAAACAGGATGCTGGACTGGACTCAGCAGGACGATTTGGTATATCTTTATGTTCTTTTTGGTGCTAGAAATTGGAATCTAAATACTTAAAAGAAAAGAATGTGTCTAATTAGCACATAATATCTCAATTGCATGTTCTCGTCATCAAGAAAAGGAAAGATATTTATTAGTTATAAATCAGCTTCTAATGATAATGAGCATGTGGCCACTCCAATCTAATCTGCATAATGAAAACTGCTCTTTGAAAAATCAAGTTAATTTAAAAACAATCATACAAATATTTTTTCTTAAATAGGTTAAGATAGATCTGCACCTTTTTTACTTTGTACTTGGTAATGTCTTAGATATATGGCTTCTTTGTCATCGTGCTTGTCTTATGGAACAGCTTCTCCTCAGAGAGTTGGAGGTCCCTAAGCCTGTTAGCCTTCAGGAAATCAGTGATGGCCTAGCTTTCTCCTCAGGCACTGGGGGAAAATGTTGATGAAGCCATTGTGCTTTGACTCATGGAGTCAAGTTTTAGTAGGCCTGAATGTTGTTTGAGTTGTTTTTAAAGCCATTTTGGTTTTAAATCATTAAAACTATATTATAGTTTTGATTTTTGTTTATCACCAAGCGTTCTTCCTGGTTGATAGACATCTATATTTAAATAACTATATCAACAACTTTCAAATGTTAGACTAGAGTAGGACAGGAGCCCAGATTGCACTTTGAAGTATTTATTTTATTTATTTTTATTTATTTATTTTTGTCAAGTATGTATATGATAACAGATATAAGTATAAACATGATTATGAATACAGGAAATGGGTACAAATAAATGGGGACAGTAGGACAGGGATAGTAGGCACGTAGGTGCGCTTATGCACACTCCTTACTGACCTCTTAGGAATGGTGTGCGGTCAACAGTAGACAGTCTAAGGTTAAAGTTATGGGGGTTTGGGGAAGAAACTACAGAGTCAGGTACTGCATTCCAGGCATTGACCACTCTGTTGCCGAAGTCGTATTTTCTACAATTGAGTTTGGAGTGGTTTACCTTAAGTTTGTATCTATTGTGTGCTCATGTATTATTGTGGTTGAAGCTGAAGTAGTCATTGACAGGTAGGATGTTGTAGCAGATAATTTTGTGTACTACGCTTAGGTCAGACTGAAGGCAGCGTAGTTCTAAGTTGTCTAAGCCCAAAATTTCAAGCCTCATAGCATAAGGTATTCTGTTATGAGCAGAGGAGTGGAGGACTCTTCTCGTGAAATACAACACATTTCTTTCCCATTTTGTGCCCACTGTACTGAAATCCTTTCCTTTCCTTTCCTTTCCTTTCCTTTCCTTTCCTTTCCTTTCCTTTCCTAAACAAAGGAGAACAATGAGGACTATTGAGGAAAAAATCCAATCCTTCAATGAAAAATAAAACACGTCTTTGCAGACCTGTCTCCAAAGGGTCCAACCAGTAAGGCTTGCCTTCTCTGCACTGATGAAAAGAGCAAGAAGCAAAAATCCAAATAGGTCCTACATTGGCTCGAGGCTGCACTGAACATTAACTGAACCCCTTTGTTGAACCACTGGAAATCAGCTTCAGGAACAGCACAGGAGACACGCAGCAGAGGGCTGCACTGCAGAATTGCTCTCTGACTGAATTCACTTTTATTATTTAAAAAGCTGCCTTCTTCAGTCAGACACTTTGCCTGCCTAGCTCAGAATGGTCTGTTTTGACTGAAACCCACACTTCATGTTTGATCAAGTAGAGGTATCTTCCATCAGCTTCTATGTGATCCTTTTAATTTGTGATTGAATGTGTAATATTTAATTTATATGATTTATAATTTATATGACATATAAATTATTGGCAATCATTGAGCTGCAAAGATATTTTAAAGGCAAGAGCAAAAAAAGAACTTTTTTACAGAGCATACTAGTTTGGTTCAATATCAGATATTGGCATAATAAAAGCAAGACACAAATGACCACACAGAGTTTACCTGGGGGGGGGGGAGGCAATAATTGTAGCAAACAGAGGAGCCTAACATCAATAGATCTATTCACAACCTGAGAATGTAATTTTCAAAAAACTATAGACTTATTTAAGAGCAATTAGTCATGGAAAAACATAATGGCAGATATTTGAAAGTGGAGTAAGTTACATTTGTCTTGGTTAGGAAAACTATCACCAGTAAAAATTATTTTTTTAAAAAAAAAATCAAGAATTGATTTTGCATTGTAAAAACATCTGGACTACATGTCTTGATCAAGGTAAAGCTGTTGATGAAATTTACATAGATTTTTTCAAGGCTTTTGATACAGTAGTACATGATAAACTGCTGTTGAAATTAAACTCTTCCGGCATTTCTGGACTTTTGCACAAGTGGATTGCTGCTTTCCTGTCTAATAGCCTGCAGAATAGACTTAATTTTGCGAAGTTTTTTTTCTGGAAACATTGTATTGCTAATTAGAGCTTATAAAACCTATGCTAGGCCAATTTTAGAGTATTGTTCAACTGTTTGGAATCCCCACCATATATCTGGCATCAATACAATCTAGCAGGTTCAGAAGTACTTTATGAGAAAAATCTTGCACTCTTCTATTCTGTACACAATAGAATTCCCTATGCTACTAGGCTCGAGATTCTCAGTTTGGATAACTTAAAACTGTGTCACTTGTGGTCAGTCCTAGGTATTGCATACAAAATTATACATAGTAATGTTTTACCTGTAAATGACTTTTTCTCCTGCAGGGTGCCCACGGCAGTCATGCCTGGGTAATGGCATGGCTGTCCTCCAATGACCGAGTCTCCTGGAAATTTCAGCACCGCCCCCTTCCTGCTGTACATGCATGAACAATCGCTTTAAACTCAATGTAAATCGTTCTAAACTTGACTGTAAAAAATATGATTTCTGCAATAGAGTTATCAAAGCCTGGAATGCCCTACCTGATTCAGTTGTCTCAGCTACAAATTTTCACAGTTTCAGTCAGTTACTCTCTTATTCTTGTTCTCATTTTTGTTTGACAAATTCCAATGAATAAATAAATAAATTTTCTATTGCAATAAGTCCTGAAGACAAAATATTTTAAAAAGTGACAGGAGCACCTCTCAAGAACATTTTTTTTTTTTGAATAGTCATATATTTCTGCACCTCTAATTCTCTCCTTTTTCTTTTCTTTTTCTTTTCTTTTTGATTGCGATGTGACTTTTTATTTGTATGTTTCTACAAAAAATTAATAAAACTATAATAAGAATCGCATCTTGGTTTCAGTACCTCCAAGCAACATAGTCAAAAAGGAATTATAAAATTTAAAAAAATACATAGAGATCAACAGAATAAAACATATATAATACAAAACTCAAAATATCTGTTGGGATTTACTTACAAGCTGTTCCTGAAGTAGAATTCAGAAGCCAAGGATATTGTTTCTAAAATAGATTTTCCATGAAAAGTTGTGATGTTTTTACTAGCAAAATGGCAAGGTTCTATAATCTCCAGAATGCATCAAATCAATCAAGTTTCAATACACAATAGAGACAGCTATGTAAATAATAAACTGACTGAAACTTTAAAGACTACCATCTTATAAAATCCTGACTCCTCTCTGTAGTGTGATAGTTTATCAACCTATGAGTACCTAAATGATAAGTTCTAGTGCTATTATTAATTAATTGGAATATATATTTGTAAATTGGACCAGTAGCCAACTTTGTAGCAGCAATTGGGCACAAGTATTTCTTAACTAGAAAAAGGGAAAAACTTGGTTTCAGTACACATTTCTAATTCTCAGTACTGTTTATGATATTAGTTTTCTTACAGCAGGGATCAGCAACCTATGGCTCTGGAGCCACATGTGGCTCTTTCACCCCTCTGCTGCGGCTCCCTGTCTCAACTACATATGCTAGCGTTAGTCAGGCATGGGAAGGGTTTTGTGGCTCCTGGAGTTTTCTTTTCTGTGGGAAATGGGTCCAAATGGCTCTTTGAGTCTTTAAGGTTGCAGTTCCCTGTCTTAGAGTTTCCTAACATTACTATTATAATTTCTACTTTTCTTGAACGAGCAGCTTCCTAAAAAAGCAAAATAAATAAGGAAAACTATTGAATCTAAAAATCTGAATCTAGTTTAACCAAATTTCAAATCTATGTAAAATTTTCATCTCAGTTCTAGATTTTACTGTCCTGTGTGTCTATGGAACAAGTGAATGTATTGGTTGCCATCCAATAACCATGACAACGTCATCTCCTAGGTGACTGAAAAAGGAAGAGATGGCAAAGGCTGATTTATTCCATGAATGCATAGCAAGCTTTTGTCAAGCAGCAGAGAATCCTTCCTGATATTTTTAATTACAAATGGAGACAATTTATTGTGGTAGTAGATACAGCTCTTACTGTCATTTTTATTGTTGATTCAGATTGTCAGTAAGGCTTTGCAAGGCTCTTTTGACAAAAGCACAATTCTCCCATCTTATTGGAGAGAACCAGAGTGAGTAAAACTAGAGCAGGGGTCTCCAACCTTGGCAACTTTAAGACTTGTGGACTTCAACTCCCAGAATTCCTCAGCCAGCAAAGTTGGCTGAGGAATTCTGGGAGTTGAAGTCCACAAGTCTTAAAGCTGCCAAGGTTGGAGAGCCCTTAACTACAGCACACATTTTGCCCTAATGCTTTGTGTCTTTTCTTTTATTATGATATTCCCTGTAAATGGACACTCATGAGAAGCAGACCAAGATTAACTTTAAAAAATGGACATTAGTTTAAAAGAATTATCAATAGCATGCCCATTTTATTGTAACAGCTTTTGAACTGATCTTTTAATAAGATACTTCATCAAATAAATAAAGATGTTTTCAATCTGATCTTGGCTCCAAGCAATTCTTCCCAGTGAGACTGAAACTTGCAAATGGATAGATATAAAGTGAGGGATAAGGATATTATTTACCTAAAACTATTTAACACTATGAGATTAAGCAAACATAAGTTTATTCAAACAGTTGAAACAAGTCCTATTTGCTTAAGATCTTGTTTTCAGCTTTATTGTCATTTAATTCAGCTCCAATCAACAAGATAATTACTGATAACTTCGGGTTTCAAGGTTAATATTGGAGGACTGCAGTAACAATGTAAATAAAAGTAACATCAGGAATATTTAAAAGAGGCAGTGATAAGACAACTTCTAAAGAAGCCAGATCTGGACCCAGAGAATGAAAACTACTATAGGCCAGAAACTAAAGTTCCCCTCCTAACTAAGGTACTTGAGTGGATAGTAGCTTCTGGCATTCTTGGATGAAACTAATTTTCTGGAACCATTATTTTAGGCCTGGCTATGGAACTGCCTTGATTACTCTGTGGATAACCAATGCTTGGAAAAAGATAAGGAAAATGCAATCCTCTTGAACTTCTCAGTGGTTTTAATAGTGGCCATTGTATTCTCCTGGTTAGACATTCAGATGGGAGGCTAGTACTATGCTGGTTTCACTCCTATTTGAATGGCCATTTCTAAAAGGGGCATGGGGGAATTATCCTTCTGCCTCATGACAATATCCCCTATATTCTTTAACAACTACATGAAACTGCTGAGAGAATTCATTCAGGGAAATGCACTGTGGTGCCATCAATATGCAGATGACACCCAGCTCTACTACTCCATCTAAAGAGAGACAATTGGTGGGAAGCATTTGGTGTCCTGAAGCAATGCTCAGGATGGCAATGGACCGGGTGAGGTGAAATAAATCAAGACCCAATCCAGAAAAGACATACTATTTGTGGGAAGTGAATTATCCAGTTGATCATATAGTGCCTGCTATATGATCAAGAAGTCAGATGCCTTAAAGGACCAAGTTTGTAATTTGGGAGTGTTTCTAAATCCATTACTGTCATCAGAAGTCCAAATAGCTTCAATGGCATGGAGTTGTCTTTTATCAGCTTTTATCTTCAACAAGAAGTTTGAAGATCTATTTGTGGGGCCAGAGAAAAGAAAGCATTCAAGGATGTCATTGACAATTTTGCTGGCAACTACAGAGCACCAAACTACATTCAGAAGATTGACAAACATCTTACAACATACAAGACTATGAAGCAAAGGTGTCACTGAAGACTCATTTTCTGCATTCAAACTTGGAATTCTTTCCAAAAATCTACGTGCAGTCAGTGACAGACATGGCGAAAATTTTCACCAGGACATTGCCACAATGGAAGATTTCTCATTTTTCTCAAGAGTCCTATGTGATACAATCATTAGGAAATTATATTTGTGTTCAGTTTGGAGGGATCTATTATAATTACGAAAAATGAAGTTCAAAAATCAAAACTTTTGGGGGGGAAAGTTGTCCAGGGAATTCAAAGCAGCTGCAGCTGTAATGGGCATCCTTATGCCTCATTTGCCATAGACTTCACAATGTCCTGATCTGCTGCAATGTTGTGGCACTCTCGGAATGTCAAAATGGTGGTTTGGTCATAGTGGCCCCAAGGCTGTGCCTTCCTAGCACAAGAGTGGTAGAAGATGCAATAGAATGCCAGTACTCTCTCTTACCTGGCACTAGTTTAATATAGATAGTCCTCAGCTTACGACCACAATTGAGCCCAAAATTTCTGTTGTTAAGTTAAACATTTGTTAAGTGAGTTTTATTACTTAATAAGTTAGTAACCCAGTTGTTAAATGAACCTGGCTTGTGAGAAGGTCGTAAAAGCTGATCACATGATGTGTGACACATCAACCATCATAAATATGAGCCTATTGCCAAGTAACTGAATTTTGTTCACATGTTCATGGGAATGCAGCAACGGTCATAAATGTAAAAAAACAGTTGTAAGTCACATTTTTCAGTGCTGTGGTAACTTTGAATGGTCACTAAATGAACTGTTGTAAGCCCAGGGCTGTACTGAAGAGCACCATTCCAAATGAAGCACAGTCTTAACCTGAATCTGGAGGCTTCTCAAGAATGTTTGAAATAGTTCAATTAAATATCAGTTCAGTTCTTAAATTAAATATATAAAATAAATAAATATAAATTATTTAAATATATTATGTACTAATTTATATTTTATCATATAAGAGCACACAGGATGCTAAATGTACAGAGAGTTCAAATCTAATGCTGATACTTCTTTTAACTGAAAAACTAGCATTAATGCAAATATATTGGCATTGCATAAATACTTTTTAAATACTAAAAAACCAAGATTTTTTCAAGTCATTTTTCTTTTATGCATGTAGTAAAGCAAAAATTAATTTTAAAATAGATGTGATTCTTGCCAAGGGACATGATTATAATTTCACGTTAATGTTCTCCAACATGGTCTCCATGCTTTAATGCAACTCAAATTATTTTTAGAAACAAAGATTATACAATCAAATAAGACAAACAAGTTCTCTGAAAGGAGAAAATTAAAATGGGTCATGTATCTTAATTATCCTGCTCAGCTTATCAAAACAAAGGAAATTAACAAGGCCCAGAAGATGTTCTATACAATGGATGCATCCCACCCAAAGACAGTTCTGGATAGCTAATGTTTTGTTTGAGTTTTGTTCTGGGGAAACTTTCTTTATTGCACACCTTTAAGTATTTCTTAAATGATTCAAGTTGCTGTGCCACTTCAATCAAAGTCGCTGAGGGAGGCAATCAGACCCGCTCTGAAAATTCAGCCGCGCAAACCACACTGAGGTGAAGCACTGCTTTGAAGCAAAGCAATCCCACTTCACATACTGTGGAAAAGCATTGTGCAGTGTACTGCAAGGATGAATAGATTGTTGTCCAGATTTTGCTGAACTACAATTCACAGACATCTCTCACCCTGAGCTTATGGGAAATATGCTTAAGCTGCAATTAGGTTCCTCAGCCCTGCAAAACAACTCAAGTTTCCTGAGGAGGGTTGCAAAACCAACGTATTTCAACAGAATCAAAAGGAAAGACTGAATAAGTTTCCCTGTTTTCAACAACGCTGAGCGTCACCTTTTATTCTTGTATAGGCAAGAAATATCAAATAAAAATAGCAATATTGTTAAAGTGGCTGGCCAGAATGCCTTTTGTCAAGAACATTGATTAATCATACTCCTGGAAGATTGACTGCTATTCCCTCCATGGGAGTACAAAAACATTGAATGTTTTAAATGAGAGAAGCTATTGGAAAATCATCTGTTTTACCCTCCTTATCTTTCGGTTGCTATGGGAAGAGGCTTATATAATATGTGAGTATAAAGCAGAGGTTTTAAATTCAGACCCGTGAGCTGCATGCAACCCTCCAAATTATCTTTGTGTTCTGCAACAATACTTAGAGAAAGGAATGAACCTACAGTCCTGCAAAAGGCAACTATGCTTCTTGCCCATTTATTCTAGTGGGAGACTGTCTGCTGAAAATGGGGCAGCAGTGTCCTGATGTCAGCCACTTGGGGCTGAGTCTCCTGATAATGGGAGAACATATTCAACATATTGGCACTGACTGTGCTCCTTAGAATTGCTGAGTTCAATATCTCTAGGCGAGAAGAATACATGACTCCATATATGGGCAGATATAACCTGAGGAACACATACACTTATAGTAGCGTATCTATCCACCATCACAGTCAGGGTCAGGCCTAGTATTTCTTATTTCCCTATTATTACTACTGCAGCTCCTCCTTACTACCAGCAACAGCTAAACATGACTTACTCTAACGGGGTCTCTAGGCTTGTCTTGCTCTCTCATTCTCCTAGGAGGCCTGTAGTAGAGCAGAGGTCCTACATAGGAAAACAATGACATGATCCAGTGAAGGGCCATGATCAAGGCTCAGTTCCAATAAGAGAGGAAGGGTGCCTGGAGTTTCAGAACTTCCTCATTACTCTGAGGTTCCCAGAACTATCTTCCCTACAACCTGTGCCTCTGCTGTTCCGTGCCTTCCACACACCACACCTCACTCTAATGTCAAAAGTAACCCGAACTATCACTGTGTAGCTATCATTACCACCTAAGTAAAAAAGCAAAAATTAGTTGTTTTGCAATAGTTTTTCAAAGTTTCATGATTTAGCTTTAAGGGCATACTGTTGTGGCCTGCCAGCGGCCAGCAGAGCTGGCAGCAGATTTGGACAGTGAGGAGGTTGGGGACGAACATGGGCCAGTCCTGGAGTCTGGGGAAGGCTCAGACGATGGCTCTGAGTCGGAGGCAGAGAGGGGGCCAAGGCCATCTG